ATTTCGTGAAGCTAGGTCCTTAGGGGTTCACCAGTGGGCTCACCATCTTCCAACAACTCAGGGTCCACTTGAACAGTCTTGACGGGCGGTGTTCACTCTCTCGTCTTCCTTCGTCTTCCAGCTGCACGACCGGAGATTCGGTGGGTGGAGTGATTTTTGTCGCCCAAAAGGCGCCAACAACGAGAGCGGTGCGCCAATGATGGTGGTCCCACAGCTCTCTCTCTCTCTCTCTCTTTCTCTTGATGGGTCGTTTTCACCTGGGAGCCCTAGACCCTATAGGGATCCAGTCGTGCCTGCTGAGAAGAGCAGGTACGACTGGAGCCTCCTGGCACCTACATGTCTCAGTGACGAACACATCACCGTACCTGAGGTTCGGTACGACTGGATGCCTAGGGAGAATATCATAGAGTCTAGAGATCCAGAGGTCTGAGATCTGCACTTTCCATGGTGCTTCCACCAAGAGTCACCGAAGCTGCCAGGTCCATTTGCGCCTCCAGATCCATCTTAGACCCCTGTAGGTAGGTCAACCAGCTCGGTCTCCTTCTTTCGTGTTCAGAGATGCCATCCCAGGCAGACAGCTACATTGCTTGCACTGTGACTTGGTCACCACTCAGTGAGGCGAATGTTCAGGATCCCCACAGGGGACTTGATCGATTGAACATGTTCCGAAACCTAATTATACCATAAGACCCCAGAACCTTAAAAAATGACAGTTCTAAAAAAAAAACGATGTTTCGCTTCAGACATGACAAATAAGTAGTGTTTGGGGTCTATAGGTACTGTAGCACGGAGATGATCACCAGCAATAGGGACACACCACGGCCATCGGACCATCACACCAGCTTCAAAGATCCAGACAATGTCCAGGGCTTTCATCTGGATTTATGTCCTGTTAACCATAAACCTCTTTTGGAAGAGCTTGCAACTCCAAATCTATGCTATAATTACTAGTAGTGACCCAGCACCACTCAGGGGGAACCCTGGGTGGTGGAAACCTCATGTTCACATCAACCCCCAGTTCGGGTCCATCAACCACCGAGGCCACTGGGTGGTGCCCGGTCCCGAGCCCTCCACTACCGAGGCCACTGGCCTCACCACCACGGCCACGACCTCCCGGACCCTCACGTGGACGACGACCGGCACCACCGTACCGCGGGGTGGACGGTGAGGTGGGTGGGAGGTGTTGGGGCTGCTGAGCTCTTAGAGACGATGAGGTAGAAAGGGGGGGGGGGGCCTCAGACTGCTGATTTCAGCTTATTTCTTGACATGTACGGCACTGTGTAGACATGCCATGGTGTTTTTAAAGGAAAGTTCAGGACAAAAAGACGTCTGATTCTGTGGATCAAGGTTGGTCTTGAACCCAAGAACCTGGATAGAAGGACGAGACGTTCTTCTTATTGTGATAAAGCCATGGAGTTGGATGGTTTGCTGTATAGTTTAGCTCGATCATGCTCGACCCATGTCCGAGTGATTCCGAGTGGGTATTCTGGGCCCGAACTTTGTTACTAAAATGGTCACGTCCTGAGGGTGTTCGATGGATGTTCTTTTTCGGTGTCGAAGGGCTTGAATAGGACCCAATGGTTGGAATGCAGGGGGACTTCTGGGTCTCATAGCCCAGACCATCCGTGGCGTTTTGTTGTCCGCGTCGCAACCCGGCACGCCAGCGCCCCGCTACGAGGTCACAGTGACGCAGACGACCACCACGGTGTCCAACATGAACCCTGTACAGCAACTGGAGCGCCTCGGGCGAAGGAAGGAGCTGAACGGCTCCACGGGGTGGAGGTGAGCAATGCGAAATCACCGGATTTTCCACTGGGATTTCACCATCCCTTCACAGAAGACTATGGCTCAAGTGCGCTCAAGTGCCAGTGAGAGGATGTTTTGGGCAAAGCTGGATTGGAGAATAGTGACTGAGTCCAGAGCATCAGCAAAAACACTTCGTTTTCCCCTCAGGTTGATGGATTTGAGAACCCATGTATTTATATAACATTTCAGAACCCTGAACTGAAGTAGTTAGGCAGATTCAGAGGGTCTAGGTCGTTAGGCAGAGGTATGTTCCATTCTTGCCACTTTTGCTGGAGAAGGTTGATGAGGTGAACTCCTTGAGTGCCACCAGTCACTAGACCAGATGAGGGGGATGAAGGGTCACCAGGCAATTGTTGCGAAGTCGCGAAGCTCTACCAATCCCCGAGCCATGACCAATCTATATTCATTATCTCTTTAGGTCCACATCGGTCCACCTGCATTCGGTGGCCCACACTCAAAAGCTATCCTTCAGACTTTCAACTTGGGCTTGGGCACGGGCTTAAGAAACCTTTTTGCTGATTTATGATCAGCGGTTGCATGATCCATCCGCATCTTCTTATCCCCTGCGTTGCTTACCCTTTGAATTAGGTTCCTGTAGCCCAAGTAGTTTTGCTCACTTTCTATATGTCGGGAAAGGTGTTGTGCAATATTTTCGAACTCAACGGGAGTAGTTGTGACGGTGACAGTCAAGAGCTCGAAAGCTGCTCAAAAAGCTTGCGAGGAGGAGGTGCCCTCCCAACTGTACGGGTTCTAATCTCCAACCCTTGTCAAAGAGGTACAGTTTGCATAACCAGCAGGCCCCCATAGACACTCATTTCACGAAGAGGGACGAGACCGACAAGGTGCATGGCACGAGTGGTCCTGCTACCGCTCGTAGCACCAAGGAACATGCTGGGAAGCCTTTTCAGGCACTGACAAAGCGCAGTCCGTCGTTTCTTGGCCAAGAAGACGAAGGTGAGGGGTTTGGTCCTGTATGGATTGCATTGGACACCATTAACATCCATTAACTATAGTGCCTTGTGGGGCACTTCAAAATCTTTGATGGCTCTGCATGTTTTTCGGATAATGTTGGAGGGAAAATGGGACAATTGGAAAATGGCTTAGAGCATCACCAAGGTTGGGCTTTGACATACATAGTTTAGCCTTCAGATGCTGGTGTCGACCAAGGTTCAGCAGCAGTGCCAACGCCAAGCAAAGACACCTACCAGCTTCATTAATTATTTTCATTAATAAGCCAAGGGTCACAAAGTGGTGGTGTTTAGTCCCCAAGTGAGTGGATGTTCTGGGCATCCCTATCCTCCATGGATACCACCCCAACTTGGAACTCCTGGACCCTTTCTTTCACCTTTGGCCGGGCCGTGCTTTTCTGCAGCCAAGTCCATCCCACAAAGCAAGTGACCCGTGGCGTCCACAAAACTCCAGCCTCCTCACATCACCGCACTGCACAGCGGGGTCGCCCACGACCTGAGGTTTAAATGAGCGGAGTCCCAGCAAAGATCCAGGTCGAGAAGGGGTGGCCAACCCCCCCAAAATCGGGTGCACGGATGTTTCGTGGAGGAGCCAATCGCCTGAGTTCGGCTCTGGCAGCTTTTGGCCTGAGTTGGTGTAGTTGTGGTTTTCCGATGTTTTCCTTAGGTGTTGAAATGGTTCGAACGTCTCTGGCAACCCAAGCGGGTTCAGTTGCTTTGAACAAGAATGAACAGTACCGCGACCTTGGGTTCCTCCCTTCATGAAGCGCCCGTTCGGTGTGAGGGGTGGTTGTAAACATGCGGCAGAGAGAAAGCATAGATCTGGAGCTGTGGAGCTGGTTGAAACGGGGTGACCCGACGTGTGATTGATTCGATTTGTTTGAGTGATTGATTTGGACTATTTTGGAGAGGGTTCCTCGCCCCTCATGCTTCTTCGACCCAGCAATTTGGGCCGATACCGCCAATGCTGAAGAGCCTGGCAGCCCACAAGGGGCTGCCCCAAAAAAGCGCCGGAGCTGAAAGGAAGCATCTGTTGATGGTGTCGAGGTCTCCCGGAAAACGACCTCAGCCATGATGGTGGACGTGGTCACCAAAGACGGTGGAAGGAGTTCTTTTTCTAAGTTCTGCACCTCACACCCAACCCCCCAAAGTGACAATACCATACTGAGAACCTGGGGGGGAGCCAAAAGATTCATGTATTCACAACTGAACATTCGCCCATCAATCATCGACTCTTCATTTCTACACCTTCTAGGCTGGGCAAACAGTCCCCTCCACAAATCAGATCTATCAAGATCTACCTAGAGAGCTTGAACAGCTAGCCCATCCCATATCTACCAGTATACAGGCTCCAGTTCTGATCTCTCAATCTCTCTTGCTTTTACCCCACCTCTCAAACCCTGCCACTCGCCCCCACACCCGGACCTCTGTACCCCCCCTTCGGTCCCGGCCGCAGTCCCAACGGTCCCGGCCGCCGTCCCAACGGACCCGGCCGCCCGGGCGGGAGAGAGACGCGGAACCGACGGAGCAGCGGATCGCGCGGGCAGAAAGGAGCGCGGAGCAGCGCGGAGCAGCGCGGAGCAGCGCGGAGCCGCGCGGGTGGGGAGCGGTGGGGAGCGGTGATCTGACGGAGATCACCACGGAGATCAGGTGTACAAAAGACGCTGTGTGCGCATGCATTCGAAGCCGCTGACCCGGTGATCGAAGGGTAATGGGAGAGGCCCCAAACGACTACGTGGACGGCGTGGTTTCCGTGGGATGGGTGTGGGATGAGGAGAGGCAAGGAATTGCCCTCCAAAGTGGTGGCCCAATTCCTTGGGACCTTTGAAAAGGGACCTTTCTTTTTTTTTGGGGGGGGGAGTGGGGGTTCACTGAAGAGACCTGCTTTCATACGCAGCTGAAGTGGAAAGCATGTGAGGGACATCTAAAAGGACATATAGGGACCCTCTATCCGAAAGAAAGGAACGAGATTAAGATCCGTTGAAAGATCAGTTGCCTTTTTACTATCAGGTAGAACTATCTTTAGTGAGAACATGGCTCCTACTGCAACATATGTTCTATAGCCAGGCCAGGATCCAGCGAACCTGAGCTGCCAAGCCCTGATAGGTTTGGGGCCATGGCCATGGCGATTGGCCGGGTGGGGGGTCGGAACTAACTCGCGGTGGCACTGGACAACTGCTCGGTCCGCTTTTTGCACTCTGTCTCGTCTCGCCCCACCCCTCGCAGGGAGAAGCCCTGGAGGTGCAGAAGGGAAGGGTGTTGGATTTGGAGAGTTGAGATCCAGTGATGGAACCGCATTTCTGAAGCCCAGTTCCAGCCTTTTTGCAAGTCTTGGAGGTCTTCTACCATCCGACTCTATCAATGCCAATATAGAAAGACCAAGGCTTCCTTTGTGAACAGAGCGGTGAAGGCCCGACTGCCCAAGCAGAGTGGCCACTCGTGTGTTGTGCTTCGCTTCGCGACGACGTACGCATTGTGTACTGCACGCGTACCGGACCATGTTCAAAGGCAAACGGAAGGGTAGTGCACAGAAAGGGTTTTGCAAAAACCTATTCTACTAACGTCGTGGAAGGCGTATAAACGGAGGTACGCCTTCACATGTGATCTTGCCGTACCACCAAGGAATTCCACAACACAAGTGACACTTCTTGACGAACACATCACCATGGTGACCTGGATGGCCAAGAAAGGCCCCGAGAGGAAGACGACCTTTCCCTTGACGAACACGGGGGGGTTTCACTCCACGGGTTTGATGTGATGTGCTCGTCGGAGGCGATTCACAGGTTCAAGTCCAGTCGTATGCACCTCCCCCGCCCTCTGCACCTCACCCCCTGTGGGCGTTTTGCTGGCAGGCCGCCAAGAAGCCTGGGATCCCGAGAAGATGCGGTCATGCGTGGTGGTGGTGGCTGGTGATTGGGAACCCAGTTATATATACATGGGGTAGACACGCGCTTGCATAGCTTGAAAGAAGGCAAGGAGGCCCAGCCATGGATGCGTCGACTGTGCCTGTGCCCAGTGGTTCCTGGCCAGATCTCGACTTGCTACAGGGGCGCCGGTAGGAACTTCCTGGAGACCACCAGCATCGAATCAGCTGCCGCACAGGCACCCACAAGGGCTCCCAGCACCCCACAAGGTCGATGTGGTCCCGGCTCATCTGGGCTCAGCTTCCGAGTCGGATCTTCGATTGGCCCCGGTGGCCCCACCGGTCCTTCCTGCTTCGCACCCGATGAGTCGCTCGCGGGGTCGGGCATCGGTACGGGTGGGACACGGAGTGCGCTCCACTCGTCGCCAGCGAGGCTGGGGAAAGAGAAGGGCGATCTGCAGAAGGCGAGGGCTGGGACAGCTGATTCGTACGGCGAACGTCGAAGATGGAGACGGGGGTCTCGGCCTATTATTTAGGCCGTGAGTAGGGTGAGTGATGTGCACTGATGTAAGTCTAATGATGTTAATATATATATATTATATGTGTGTGCGTAAATAAATGTAAATAATATATATATATATCATACCCTACAAGTCAAAAACATCATTTTACTGGATATGGTCATACAAAGCCAATACTTAAGGAGGTAAAAGACTAGGTTTTACTGGGTCTTTGGACTTGTAGAGATCGAGATATTTTTTATTGTATAATGTACCAAGACCATCCTGTTTGGGTGTCCAATGGAGATGATTAGTTGGGAGTTTCATTGGTGCTTAAGCTGGCAGTCATCGAGGGCCTTGAGCTAACCTTCGACCACTTTAGACGACTTCGTTTCTATACGACACACACACACGCAAGTATGCAAGCAATTGCATTATTTTAAAAGCTTATCATAATATATCAAGTTGTTCATTGGTTTATTCGATCCTTCCTTCCTGTCACACGTCAAGAAAGCAGCAACGGTCCATTTTCATCACAGAGACTTCAAGGAACGTCCATGACCATCAATGAACTGCTTCCTGGAAACCCAGTCCCAACCAGCAACAATTTTTTTTTCCAATATGGTTTGCTTGAAATCCTTTGCCATGGGAAAATGGCTGCTTGGGGAAACATCCATTTCTCGTCTGGTTGTTGGGTTTCCCAGCTTTGACTCCCGTCGTTTGCACCGTTCGCCGAACGAGCAAGACCAGGCTCTAGAGCGAGCACAGCGAGCGAACCAGCGCCTTGGGACTGGTTCCGCACGGCGGGATGCTGGAGGTGGTTGTAGGGTGCGAAGCGTTGAAGACCTCGAAAAGGAAGTCGAAGGTGCTCCAGCCTCTCAGGTTGGAGCCGTCCTTTTTTGGTGGTGGAGAAGTTCAGAAGGCTTCGGTGATCACGGCCACCGGACTTACCTAGGAGGGGCAATGCTTAGGCTTACCTAGGAGGCAGGGGAATCATGTCTGAGCTGTTGGGACGCAACGGGTGGGATGTGACACACGGTGGACGTGGCTACTGCCTGTCGCTGCGCAGATGGAGCTCATGTAGAGAGCTCACGAGTCGTCATGCCATTAAACCCTCTTCGTTTGCGTTCAGCAATGATCTTGCGATAAGGGCCTGCAGTGCATGGTGCGGAAAATTCTTCTCGGGCGTGCGGAAAACCTCTCAAGCCTGGAAAGGCAAAGCTGAGCTGAGAGCTCGCACCCAGCTCGTCCTGGGCCTTTTCATAGGACTGGAAAGCCCTTCTTTGACAGGGCGAGGGTATTGACTGCACTTGCTATAGATGGTACACTAGATGGAATCGGCACCAGATGGGGGATATGAAAAGCGACCGATTGGCAGAGTTGGCTCATAGATGTGCCAGTTGCATCCATTTAGTTTGCAACATCTGGCTGTAGCTACCGTGTTTGATTCCACATGGTTGTGCTACATGTCGCTGCCCTCAGACCTCTTGCCCGGTCTTGCCCCACATAAAACCACTGCGGGTGTGGAGGATCATGAAACCTAACGGCCAACAACAACATTTGTTTGGTGAGGTGTTAGTTGCTGCTAGCCTCCACAAACCATTTGTGCTCAAGCCCAGGGATTTGCAATTGCAGCTTGACAAGAAGATGCAAACGCCTCCAGTGGAGCGTCCCTGGCCTGAATGGGTTTGGTGGAGGGAGTTCTTGTGGAGCAGGTTGCTTCAGGACACTTGTATGAACAATCTTAGGATTGTTGGGCTGTGCAATGATTTGCGATATCCACTGCATGTTCAATGATGCGCTTCACTGACAATCACTGCACAGAACTCGAGGCTTTGCATTGCACGCATCAGCAAGAGACACCGCACAGCGGTGGTCAGGAAGAGATTTATTGTTTCGACGGTGCGATTCACTTGTGATTGTGCTGTCACAACTCTAGGCTCAGAGTTCCAAGGTGGTTTGCATCCCAGACAGAGCGGGTTCTTTCGTAGCATTTGGAGATCACGCTGCCACAGCAGTACCCCAGCTAGGCTCCCTGCAGGTACAAATGATTTGTAATTGACTATAAAATGAGTCGCAAATTTGATCAGCTGCACACTTGTCACCATACAACTAGAGCTTGATCCTTGGAGCTCTTGGCTGTTGAGGTGAAATCCGCACGAGTTCCACACGGTATGAACGCAAACATGTTCTTTTCAGGGAAACGCTGGCGCCATGGAAGAGGGAAACGCTTCTCTTGACCACTTACGGGCCTCCGTGCATGCCATGGAAGACAGTCCGGCATACAGTCCTCACAACCCCAAATCATGGCCCGGCATCCCTGGCAAGGGTGGTTTATAGACACCCCTAACTCTGACGATTCCATTTCCTTCAGAAGCAACCCTTTCAGCATTGCTTGGTGTTGTTCTTCCCCTACAGGCCTACAGGCCTTACGGACCTCATTTGACTCAATCCAGTCATGCAACCCCCGGTGCTCAGTGAGGTCAAGGACCAGGTTTAACCTGACCCTTGGACTTGTAGGCTTCTGTATTGGGTGCCGTCCCTCCTCCAACCCCGGCCCGGACACGCCAGCGAGCGCCACGCCATCCCGTCGCCCAGGCCCGGTCGTCCGGACACTTGGAGGGCGCGAAGTGCGTCGTGCGTCGTGCGTTGGGCGTGGGTCTGATGGGGGATGTGGCGGGTGGGTGGGATCGAATGTGCAGAGTTATGCCCTAAGAATCGACCCTCCGAACTGGAGGGTTTTGCATGGGTTTGGACCCTTCACCCAACCTTCACCTTTGAGGGTCCTTTGATTCTTAGGGTAATAACATCATTCATGCCAGCACCTTCACCTGGCTGGTTTCGCCCCACTACGATCCGGGACCTCCAGACAGGACGCCTCTTTTTCAGGTTCAGGGATAGTTGATAACCCAGTGGGTCAACGCACCAGTTGAACCAGTTCTTTAGTAACGCACCGGTTTAACCCGTCCTTTGGACTTGCTGGGTAATATATAACTTTGCGTTGAACACCAATTGACCCTTGTCACGAAAGCTAGCACCAGCTAGCTGGAGTTGTCCTTGCTTTAGCAAGTGAGGGGCTGGAATCCTCGAGATCGCCGCATCACGCGAAAACTTCATATGTAGGACCCCCCCCCCGGTGGGTTCAACTCCCCCCTGGGACGCCTCCGGGACACCTCTCGGGCACCTCTTATGGCATCCACTTTGGTTTAACTCCTCCGGGATACGGTGCAACAGATTCAACAAGCTCACAGGTTCATGACATCGACATTGATAGAAGAAACCAAGTAAATAATGCAAGCAGCTTTGTTTTGCCTCTGGGACACCTCTTGCGCACCTCTTATGGCATCCACTTTGGTTCAACTCCTCCGTGGAGGTTTTGGGATACGGTGCAACAGATTCAACAAGCTCACAGGTTCGTAAACACATCGGATGCATCGAATAGTGTGGCAAAGTCCAGCCACGCTTCCTTAATTATCGGGGACTTCAATTCTAAGGTTGGCTGTGTCATTGGTGTTTGTGTGTCTTACATGTTCACAACGTTTTACCTCATGAGCATTTGCCTCAATCCGCTTGATGTCCCACCAGTCCGGATGCACACCTGCTAGCTTTCGTCACCTACCCTCGGCCTCAATTTTTTGAGGAACAGGCCATACTCTTGGTCGTTGCTCATCAGCTACCCCAACCCACATCCGCCATCGGCTCCCACCGTCACCTCGCGGCGGCCGCGTGGAGATGGAGTCGTTGGGTGTTGGGGAGATGAAGGCCCTGCAGGTGGGACGAACTGGTGGGGCGATGGGGATGGATCTATATAGTGGATTAGAGAGGTGGTAGATGGCCCGCCAAAGGTCGGTGGTTTATATGAATATCACTATGAATATCACTGTATGTTGTTTGTTTTGTTGCTGGGGAGATGCTCTACTATGAATTAGGACGTCTTAATCAACTCAGATCTGATTTGGAGCCAGAGGAATTTGCAAGGAACCTCTTTTGAGAGTCGCCCCAGCTTCCTCCCCCGGCAGCCGGGGACTTCCTGGGCTCCGCGGCTCTGGCGGAGGCGCTGCTCGATGAGACCTTCCTTCCTCGCCGCTCCTGCGACCGACGCGGTCCACTGCCGCAGCGCTTGCGACTGCGGGCGGCGCAGGCAGCCGCGCGGCGGCGGAACGATGGGAGGAGTTCGAGACCTGGAGGAGTTCGGGCTGGGGGTGGGTGGTGGGGGTGGATTAAAGGGATCCAGGGGGGTTCAGGTACATAAACTCTTCACAAGGGGCGGTCCAAAGAGAATTGTTCAGACGAAGTGAATCAACAACTGCAAGATTTGGGAATATTTGGGCTTTTTTCCCTCTCCTCCTGATCAGAGAGGCACGTCCTTGAGGCAATGATGCAGCCCCACAGGACACTGATGCTGGAGCAGCAGCCGGAAGGTCTACCGCCCTTAAACCCTCCTGTCCGGACCTGGCGCTTTGGAGCAGACCAGACGGAAGCGCGGTGCAATGAGACTCGTCCACGAAACACCTAAGACGGTGGCTGGGAAGAGGTCCAGCACAGGCGCAGAGGATGGATGGACCCTCAGTTCGCGGTCTGACCCTCACATGTAGCAGTTTGAGGCTCCATTGAGCCTTTGGGCGTAGAACATCGTAGAACATAGAACATAAATTTAGTCTCAATATATAACTAAACATGTTCAGATTGCACCAGATTGTGCCACACAAGTTGCCCTATTCCGGGTTTCTCGGCTCCATCCACGACTCGGTTGCCTTGCAAGAACGACATGGATGGGGGGCGTCCTACACGCTCACCACGATCTCCCGCTCTGCGTGAAGCGGTCCGGAACCGGCTCCAGGTGGGAACAGACCACACCGTAGACGACACCTATCCGTTTGGGCTCACCCAGTCGTCCCTGCACAAGGTATCACTGGACCTTCTGGCACCCAACCCAGTCACACCTCCTTAGAATGTACGACTTGTTCGCCAACGGGCATCTACTCCACCATCTAGGCCTCAGGTCGTTCATGGTCGTTCAATTCCCCACACCGACCCCAGAACATCTCCGAGTCTGCCTGAGCCTGCCCGGCACCCAGAAGTTCAGTGACCATAAATGGGATCCGTCACCCAGGGTACCTATGGCCTATGGGATAGTCGAACAGTCGGGTTCTTCAACTTCTGGACCCGGTGGCAGAGGAATGCTACTTGTTCCACGGCACCTCCTGGGCGTCGGCGCAGCGGATCCTGGACCAGGGCTTCGACCTGGACCTCTGCGGGCGCGCGACGGCGGAGCGTGGCGCGGAGCGAGGGTGACGTGGAGGGTGCGGGGTGGTTGGGACTCTGCAGAGGGTGAGGGGAAGAACTACCAAAGAACGCGCAAGAAAGACGGCGGGGGGCAGGCAGTAGAGCCAGGCAATTGAAATCAATTGAATATATTGACTGGGACTGGGAATGTGATGGAATGTTGATCATTGTTCAGTTGGAAGCTGATCGAAAGGGAAGTCGAATGAAAAAAGAGAACGTGGCCGGTTGGGAATAGTGCAAGTGATTTCACGGCTTTCCTCACGGGCATGTTGAAATTCTGTAGCGAAGGAGGGCTGAACATCTCCACAGTAAGTGTGTTTGCCCACTGATATGTGGACCACTTCCCGTGAGGAGAGACGACCCTCCCCTGCGATGCTGAACGTGTGATATCGGGTGATGTGCAATCCACAAACCTACAATGTCACACTTGGAACTGAAGAGCGTAAGCACGGTAACGAGCACATCAACCAACTTTGCCATAGACATTCTGCCCTGAACGGTCGGGGGGCGGATTAGCGTGTTTGAACTTTCAATCTTGAAAAGGTTTGATGGACTTGAGCTTCATCCCTGAACCCAAGGCTTTGGCCCCAATTTCTCCAAAGCGCCCCTCTTCCCTGACGGCCTCTACTTTGCGGAGTGCTCCAGCAAGGCCGACGAGTACGCGGAGGGTCCCAGCGATTGCGGATGGCACGCCTTGCTGTTCCTCACTGCAGAAACTGCTGAGTCCTGCATTCTTCACGCTTAAAAAGCGGCAAGACTCTTCACACCTTTTGGGTGGAGAGGTGCCACCCAATGCGACACACACACACACACATGACAAATACATGACAAATACATACAAAATACCAGGGCCTCCTGTTTGGTGTGGTTTTCATGGACATCCCAAGCTCAACCTCCAAATCATGGACACCCCTTAATTACGGGGGGTCCCTGGTACCCGTGTTTCTGTCTTCAAGCTCCGGCGTTGTGGGTCGCTGTGTTCGCTTGCCGCTCGCGCTTCAAGGCTTTGTCGCGTGCTCCTGGGTGCCGTCCGCCTCTCACGCCGCGCCGCTGCGCGGGCGTCGCGCCGCGCGGCGGAGGCGGCGGCGCACGCAGAGGCGCTGCCAGGGGCGGTGCTCGTGGACTTTGAAGCCAGCAGTGGGAGCTATCGCGAGTCGCCGGACGAGAATTGGGAGAAAAACACCGCCTGAGCTCTGGTGTTTGTGAATGAGGTGGTGTTTGGAGGGGAGGTAGATACTGTAGCTGAATAGTCCACCTTAAAAGTACTAAAACAAGTTCGTTCTCTTTTATTGGTTTCCGTGCAAACATATGGACATATAATGATGGCACAATATGGCACCACGGGTATTGAACTCCTTTACATATCCTTTCGGTGTCCTCCTACTTGTATCAATTTTTCCGGGTTCTTTGGTGTGGTTTCCGGCGTCCTTCGGGTGTGCGATCAGGCTGCAGCCCCTCGAGGTAGTTCGGTTTGGGGAAGTCACAATCCATCTTTGGGGGCCCAAGTGCCTTCTAAGAAGGTGTTTGGGGTGGGTTTAGAGGGTCCAAATATGTCTTGTGTATGATCTGCTTTAGAGATGTCGGCCTGCAACCAGGCCTCCTCATCATCCGGGCCCTGCTAATGGGATAGACCCAATTTGATGATATTCATTGTATGTTGCCCTGGCAGCTCTTGGGCTGCCAGCTGCTTCTTCAGCTTGGCCTCGGGAAACACCAAGCTCGAGCGGCCGCGAGCTGCCACGCCGAGGTTCATTTTGCCCGATGCCAGCCGTGCCTTTCCGGAGTACCTCCTCTCCTACCAGCGGCTGTATCGGCGGTGAAGGTGGCCATGGAGGCGTTCAGGTCGTCTCGAGACCTTGGATTTCGCAGATGCCTTGCTTATCATAACCATTTCTGGACACCATGCTCCATAGGATCGTCGCTGCCAGCGTGGTTGAATGTCCTGTGGAACATCCTTGGAAGACATCCTTGGACCCAGCAGAAGACATCCTTGGAACATCTTCTACCCCCCACTGCATCACAGTCCTGGGACCACACGGCGTGAGGGCGTGCTTGGCATGTGTTTTTCCCGGTATGCCACTGGATGAATCCGAGTGAAGAGTTCTGTTTCTCGTGTGGGGGGTTCTGGGGTGGCATCCTCTTGCTCATGTGGCTCGCGGTGGCTCGGCCCTTCGCAGCTCATGTGGCGTCGCAACGACCGCACTTGGCGCAGCCCTGCTGACTTGCAGGAGTCATGGAAGTGGTTGAACTGGAGTGACCATCAGCTATTTGCTATGAGGAGTTCATGGTCAACAAGAACTCGGCCATGCCACGTCACCAGAATCCCAGTCGGTTCGGTGTGTATCTCATGTCAGTCACCTTGATTCCAACCTACCCCCTCAATGTTCAAACCACCTCTTCAGGCTTGGGGTGGGTGATTTTCGTCCAAGATCCTACATGGGAGATCTATCCGGAGACCTGCTGCACATCGACCTTGGAGCGGTGCACGAGCGGCGAAAGGGGCGGAGTGCTGGGTGTTCAGATCGACTGGAGGCGAGGAAGTGGAAGTGGAACAGAGAGCCAAAGCAGGGTCTGAGGCCCTGTGCAAAGGGTGTCCAATGATAGCTTAATTCGAGGTGGAGCTCGGGATGTCCATGAAAACCACCAAACAGCCAAACAGGGGGCCCTGGTATAAAGTTCATTTAGTACTTGTCTCCCTGCCCAAGGGCAGGTCAGGGCCAGTTGAATGACCTTCTACAGTGCCCAAGGTGCGGTGAGCGTCGGCTCCAATGAGGGCGCCAGGGTTTGTGACTACAGTAGAACTCATTGGACCTTTGAACAGGAGCAGGCCATATTTAGGATTCCCACCAATCAGTAGATCTAATGTGGTGATAGACCATGATAGACCTATCAATTTCTGGTGGTTGGTGGTCCAAAGGTAGAGGTCACAGTAGTCTTCACCTGAGACTCCTGAACCCGTGTGGACCCGCAAATCGCTCGCATCACCCACTGCAAGCCGCGGTGATTGACCTGTAGCGTCGCGTAGTTCTGTGACTGGGCGATGGGTCAACATGACGGCTGGGAGTAGAGGATGGAGGAACTTTGGTGGATGTTCTCACCCAATGGCATTGAGTGACGCCCAGTTCTCTTCCCCTCAAGGCTGCATGGAATATGTGTCTCATTGAGGAACGGTAACGCCAGGGTCACATACGAAGGCCAGCGGCCATCCAGTGGTGCATCTCCAAAACTCTTAGTCAGGATGAGTATGGCTGACTACTGTACATACATGGGTGGATGGATCAATCGATAGTATCCGTAGACCACTTCAGAGAGGTCAAGGAGACGTGTCGCCTCCGCTGGAGAAATAGGCAAGTCCAGCGTGACATTGAAGACATGGTCATTCTGTGGCCCCACCAACAGAGGTTGAAGAACCCTATACACTATCCCATAGGTGGTAGGGTCCTAGTTCAGGTCACTTAACCTCTGTTGGCATGCTCCATGTGCATCCATGCGCCTCCATATGTTGTTTTCCCGTGATTTCACCCATGCTGCACCTCTCGACTCCACTCCTGGTCTGGCGTCCAAAGCGTGAAGCCGTACCATCAGCCGTAGCCCGACTGGTCCCTCAAAACCGAAGTTGAGACCCCGAGGACACCTCCAGTCAGGCCTCCGGGCGATTCTGTCCATGAGCGAAGCCATGAAGTGCTAGATCCCTGGCTCCGCGTCGCCCCACCCAGGTCACCATAGCTGAGGCAGGCCGAAAACGACCTCGCGGCCCGCCGAATACGGGGGACCACGACGGTGCAGTTCGGGGGGTTGGGGGAGAGGGCTTATAAACATGCCACCGGGACCTAGAGCAACCTGAAGGGGAGGAACAATTGCTTGGGTCGCTTTCCAAAGCCTGCTTGGTCACCATGACTGATAGTGTCAGATGGTGTCATCATGTGTCAGTTGACATTCTGATCGCTTGATGAAGAAACTATTTGAACCTTGTGAGTTCTTCGAGCCAGCAAAGGTGGTTCTTGAAATTTCTCTTGCAGAAAGTTACACTGCCCCCATCCCAAACACCTTCACCTCTGAACGCCAATCAACTGACAATTGGTCCATTAGCTAGGCCAGGGGCGACTTTTTTTGAACTGGGTGTGGGGAGTTTGCCCCTGGCACCACTGTGTATTTTTGTGTATTCTCCCTGCACGCGGCTTCTCTCACAGCCAGGTGGAGGTGAAGCCCAAGGCACACGCTGCTGGTCTGTGTTTGAGTGAAGATGCTCGCACCACCTTGCTCGGACCACCTTGCGCATCAACTTTCCATAAGTGGATGACACGAATAGATTGCACATGATTGAACAATATTGAACAGATATGAGGGGTCTTTAGCTATATGCCGGCAAGTATCACTGTGGGACCCACACCTTCTAGTCTAGTTTACTCATCCTTTTTCATTGTTCTTGACGCATGACATACACTTGGCGCGTGACAGGTTACAACTCGACGAGATTTGTCATGCTTTATTTAACTTTGTTCAATTGTGGCTAAGCTTTTGCCTTGTGGATGAACAGGCTCGGCTAAAGTGGACAGGATAATGACTGATCTCAGGAGTCCCCACTGTGCTTGTTACGAGCTTTGCTTGTGTTCCTACACATATGGAGAGCACTGACGAGGTCTGCGACCCGTAGGATTCTTTACAGAAATGGCCGGCTGTGTTTTCAAGGTGGGTTTGATTGGGTTTGCATTCATTCTTGAGTTGCAAAAGGTTGGCAAAGCACATATGAGCAATTTATGTAGCTCTTTTTCTCAAGGAGTTCATCCAGAACTCATTTGACTGTTTGTTTGTGTTGCCCCTGAGCTTGAGGCAGCTGAAGAGAGACGCATTTCGACGGGGTTTAGGGTCAGCCACTGCAGAAAGCCATTCGATGACCTGGTTCGGTGGCGCTGGGGCACCGTGATGAGAACGTCAAAGTAATGCGGTTGAAAGCAGTGGACGTCTACAGTAAGGTCAGTAGATAAGACCAAACTGTCTTGAAGTCATAGCTTGGAGTCTTGGAAATTGCTCGAAGATTGGTGGGTTGCCATGGCAGCAGCTTGGGAATTCACAGGCACTGCACAGGCACTGGCGGTGAGCAGATGGTTCTTTTGCGCCACCCGATGCCAACGACGACATCATAGGGCACCTATAGAGCCTGAATCTGAGTGACCTCTATTTTAGACCACCGACCACCCCAAAGATGGTCAAACTTCTTATTGAAACAGAGTGAGGTGCTAGAGCTGTGGGCTGTCACGACGTTGCCGACTTTGCCCTTCCTTCCAACCACCGCATCGAGAGAACGCCATCCAAACCAAACCATCCAACAATTGCGATGCAAAGATGTCGAAGACCCTGGGCATTGTACAATATATCCAAGAACACGCGCGAACCTCCAATGGTTTTGGAGGACTACCTTTGAGAAGATCAACCCCCCGATAAAGGCTACCTCACTGGCAATTGGGGACAAATATGGACAAATCCAAGGGTCCACCTAGCTTGAGTGCAGGTCTCAGCCTGCTGTGCGAAACACGCACATCACCGTTCGATTCGCTTCCCAAGAAAGATTCAAAAGGGGAGCCTGGTGTTGAAATCTAAAATCTGTTGGTAGAACACTGGTTGTTTGAACAAACCCATTGAAATCAATAACTATTTCTGGGGAGGGCAAGACATGACATCAGGACGTTTTCCAGGCTGCCATGGGCCCAGAGGCTCCTCAGGCTCATGCGTGCCGGACCGCGCCAAAGGTCCGTGCCTCGCCGGGCCCCAACGTTCGGCTCAAAACCAGACAATCCACCAGCAGCGGTCAATTCACCCCAAGGGTTGTTGACTGCGCACGGAGCTCGGAGCTGGGTGGACGGGGGAGGGAGGTGAGAGGGGGAGGGAGGTGAGGGGGCAGGGGTGGCCATGGTGTGGGAGGGACGGCAGGGACCCTGTTTTTCTTTCCCATGAGGTTTCACGCGTTGTCTTTTTCTCTGTGAAGGGGCCGCGTTCCATGGTGGTGGAAGATGAGGATGATGGTCGTACTCCTGACGGACCGTGCTTCGAAGTAAAGAACCCACGTGGACGTTTCTAATAGCTTCTTGTTACTACTAGTAAGGCACTTGTTACTAGTAGCGATGCACTTGTTACTAGTAGCGAACATTGTTTCTAGTAGCTTCCTATCCCCCCCCCATGTCAGTTTTTGGAAGAGATGCTTTCAAGTCGAGGAGGGACCGAAAGGAGGAGCAAATTACAGGCCTGCAATCAATTGGAGGATTGGATTGTTATGACTTTTTGCATCTTCATGCTGTGTTTTGCTGCGCATGGCGAGGCAAAAACGGCGTTCGGCTCACTCACAGGGCAGAACAAGTAGCGCTCCGCGCGCCTTTTGGAAACAATCCTGGTTACCCCACGTACTTTGCGCGAACTCGGAGTGCTGGTGGGTCACGCCACTCCAACCACTCGCGCGATGTGGTGGGTGCTGCATGCCGGTGAGTCCGTTGAGGGACCGCGTCCGTTGAGGGACCGCGTGGTTTCTTTCCTTTGGGGCGCTCCAAACAGGGGATCATGTAGAGATGAATCAGACTCCCGGACTGGAGACGAACGACACTGGGTTGGATTTTCAGCTACTTGGGATGATTGAAACCACTGACTCTGCAGGGAGTTGAAGCCACCAACCAGAAAATAGAGTAAAAGCATCTGGAAGGGGCAGTTTAATTTGTAGACTCCACACCCCCCATATGAAGAGGTTCGGTTTGTTCAATTCAACTGGGATGGGTTCATGAATCAAGAGTCTACATGATTGATCCACAGATATCAACCGGTCTGACTCGCTGGGGGCCATGTGCTAGGTCCAATCCCCAGTAGCAAGGACCCGTGGTTTCGACCATTGTCCGAATACCAACCCAGTGGTTTTAGGGTTCCAAGTTAGTCTGGGCCAGGGGAGTCTCATTTGTGGCGAATGCTTCTTCTCCCTTCTTGCGCAGCTGGGCAGCCCGTTGGTCTCACGTTTGCCCCGCTGGGCGAGCGCCCCCGCTGAGGTGCAGGATGACTGACACCTCCTGAGAGGTGTCGCTGGCGGGTGAAGAGACCGCCCGCAGCTTGGGAGGCCAGCATTTGGGACGTTTGGGAGGCGACATGGAAAATGAGATGGAGTTGGTGGTGGGTGGAGCAAGGTGAGGTTTACCACAGAAAAGGGGGTTAGATGCTAGCAGATTGCTAGGGGATTTGTTTAAGCCTTTATGAGAGGTAAACGCTCCTGCGGGAGGCAGTATAGGTCGATAAACTACTGCAAGTGCACCTGAGGTGCACCTCGCTGCAATCCTTCAAGCGAAGTGACCCACTTCCATGGTCCAAAACGTCTAGCTTTTCGCGCTCTGAGCTGAAAACAGAGACATGGTGCGAGAACGGGTCCAAGAATCATTGAACTTCTGGGGCTTCCGAATCTGGTGAAGAACCTTTATAGTGAGGATTGGGTACTGGGTTTCCCCAGCTCAAATGAGGGGGGCCAGTGAAGCGGCTTCCTTCGTGAGCAGATCATCTCGTCAAGTCGCCCTCCTTGGTGGCCGTCCTTTGTCTAGGAAGCACGAGAAAGGGGAGGCCTCCAGCCTGCCTCGTACCCGTCCACGTCCAAGCGAGCTGTCGCATGGCGCATGGCGCCTGGCGCGAAGGTTCCTGTATTCTCTGATTGGCCGTGCATGGCCCGATGTCTCAGTGGGAGGGCGGTTTCAAGACCAAGGTGTGGTGGATGGTTTCATCAGGTTGATTTATCAATCACTCACTCATCTCGCTTCCCAGCTGTGTGTGTTGTTCTTTTGCATGCGTCCTTTCCATTCTGTTGCGGGGTTGATGTCTATGAATGTAACATAATCAGATTCTGCATGATTCTACGGGCAGTGCAGGCTTATTACTAGACGACTAGAACAATCTATAGAACATCAACCAATATGGATTCATGTTTTTTAAATGCAGGACCAGCACTCTCCCTCCCTGCACCTCCCTTGCCACTCACTCACTTCTGCGCCCCTGCCACCCAACACTACCTGCGCTCCTGCGCTCGCTTGGAGCGCACGCTCAGAGGCGCACGCTCCCACTGAGGCCTTGGCCAAGGCCAAAGCGCCAGCTCGACTCAACTTGCCCAACAGCGTCTCAGTGGAGCTCCAGGAGGCGCCGGTCTCGATGGTGGGTCATCGGGCGGTCATCAGGGGCGTGTTCGGGGCGAGGGACTGGCTTGGCACCATGGGCAAGAACTGGTGAAGAGAAACAGGAGGTAGCAGGTGGGTTTTCGATATTTTGGGGGTGGCATGCATTCTGTCCATGATTTTCAGGAATGCATCTACTGGCCCGGATGTGGTCGTTGGCATCCAGGTTCAATTCAGACATGAGTTCCCCTTTTCCCTGACGACTGCATCGGTTCCGACTGCATCCTGCTCCTCCATGAGTTCGGACATGTTCGGACTTATGGCCCATCAGTTCAGGCCTCCATCAGTTCGGTGATACCTCCTGTTCCATCATATGTTCCATATATATATGTTCCACTCTTATCGCTTTCACATTGGGCTTATCTCCGGATCCTTATGCATGACCCGCCGTTTGGAGCCGGTGGTGCCCCCCAAAACCATGGTCCCCCCCCTCACCACCTCTGCAAGGGAGTTCACGGACCTCACGGACCTGGACCCGGAACCCATGCTAAAACCCCCCCCTTCCTTTCGTCCTCTCGCGAGCTCCACGGACCCGAACCTCAGGTCGGTGTGACGCCCCTTCCCTCCACCGAAAAGCCGGTGGCGCCTGTGGCCAGCAGCGGCTCGCTGGGCTCCGATCACCATGCCGCTCGGACCGACCGACCGAACCGGTGTGAAAGAAAGGTCTTCGGTGGTTGAAAAGGCCCTTGAGTTGGATGGATTTTGGGATGGATAGCCCCTAGGCCTCCAGTCGTACCTTCTGGGAAGGTGTTTGGGGTGGGTTTGGAGGGTCCAAATACCTTCTGAGGAGGTACTTGGAGCCTTAGGGAGCAGTACTGGAGTCTGACCAAAACTCATGGGGGGAAGGGATTGGTGAATATGTTTTTTTTCCTCCTGGTTCCTTGAGCAAATCCATTTTGAGGGCGAATGGGGGGGGTGGCCACTGGTTTGGGAAGGTGGCTGGGATGAAGAGCTGCCAGGAATGGACACCATGGTCCGACAGCCTTGTTGAACGACAGCCTTCGGTCCAACCGAGTCCCGTTTGACGTGTTCCACAACGTTTTTCGGTGGAATGACGGGAGGTGTTCTGAGATGAGGTGCTGTTATGACCAGTTGAACTTCTTGCAGATGTGCAGACCTGCCGTGGTTTTTGGGGTC